TCATTGCATAGGTGTAACATGGGAGAGAACTGACACAAAGCGGAAAGGACTGGCAGTATTGGACAACCTCCACCAGAATGTAAGTCAACTGTGTAATGCAATTACTTTTTGAATGCAGTACAATTTGAGGTATCATTAAGGGTTAAACAGTGTCTAGAACAAGGGCAAGTGAAACCCCAGCTAATCTCTGCACTGGTAAAAACCCACCTGGAGAACCGTGTCCAACCTCAGAATTGTTCTTCAAGAAGGAGATGGACAGGCCAGGATTCAAAACCTGAGTTTATTTAGAGAAAAGAGACTGCTATGACAGGAGGTCAGGAAAACACAGTAATGGAGCAACACTTGAATGGAGTGTGGGCACCTGGGATACATAATCTAGAGGAAAGAAAACACAAAAAGAACTGTCTTCAAATATTTAAAGGAAGACAATTTATGAAAAAAAAAGAAAACCTACTTTCTATTCTCTGTGGCAAAACTAGGACCAACGAAAGAAAGGAAGTAAATTTTTATTCAGCACAAAGAACTCTCAAAGAGTTTGAGCACAGTTTTTCACAACATTTTGTGTATAAAGTAAACTTCTCAGTCAGTCCCTCTGCTAGGGATGTATTGTTGGTAGTGGTACAGATGAACACTTTTTAATAATATGTATTTTATTGTGTATTTTTAAGTGTTTTAAAATTTTCCATGTTGATATAAAGTTTTCCCTTATAAAAAGTAACTTGAGTAAAAAAATTAGCCAATTTGGGAAAAAAATGTTTAAGTAAATAACAAATGGTATGCAGATATGGCAAAAAATCACAGAGGCTGTATGCAAATTACAGCAGCACAGGAAACACTGCTATAGATTGTGCTATTTCATCTTCAGTGTTTTTAAACTTCTGTTTAAGGATCTATCTCCTGCTGAGGAAATGCCTGTCACATAGTTTTAAATGACTCAAGTATTTATTAACAGAGAGGAAGAGGAAGATAAGAAAAATAAGACAAAGAAGGGAAAAAGGATGAATGACTTGCTACTCCAAGCACATCGGTTTGGCTTGTTTACCTTGAGAGTTCACATTATATTGACACTAAATCGGGAGGAATTCAGAGCACCAGAGCCAAAAAATAAATAAGAACCTAGAGAGGTTAAAAATAAGGTCAGGAAGTAACAAATTGAAACAACTGGGAAAATAGAAACACATATCTAGTGGTAAATAATCTGACACACAAATATTCAGTGGGTAGGAAAAACCTGGACATTCCAGGAATGATATGCTGGTGACAAGAAGTTTCAGATTTTATTCTGCATTGCCAATGCCTGCCACTGGGGGCTCCAGAGAGTCTTTAGCATCTACCCATTCCCTTGTATGGCCTTGACCAAGGCTGCCTTCATTAAGATACTGTCATCTTTCAGCTTGACCTGTTGCTCTGCAACCTTCCTGTGACTCCTTCCAGATAACTTCAGTCCACATGGCCTAGCTTTTTTGTTGCTCTTCACTCCCACTACTCTTCTAACCCTTTCGGTGATTTCCCATAAAACTAAATGTCTCCTAATGAATAAAACCCCCTTATTATATAACACGATAATCTCGCCTATGAGTTTTCTTCTAAGGAAACATATTTTATCTGTTACAGAAATGGTTTAACGTAGTTGAAATAATTTTGGTTATAAAGTTCAAATTCCTAAACTCTAGTCTTGGTTGTTTCACTTACTAGTTCTGTGATCTTGAATGAGTTATTAATTTCGTCCTATTTCAAAAAATTATTGCATTATATCTGTAGAGAGTTTTATACTACATGTGAGCCCTTTTAATATATATGTATTTTTATTTAGTATAAAAATAAATCATGTGTAGTACAACGCTCTCTACGAACACATCATGTATTTATGTTTTATGTAATATATTTATGTATATAAAGCTCTCTACAGACATAGGTCATTTATTTAGCACTCAGTTATTTGTGTCCTTAGCAATTGTTCCCTAATTGTTTCATATGTATTTTTTGTCTCCAAAATTGATTTCAAACTTATGCAAAGATGGCTCTATCAATTACACTTTATTTGTACTCTCTATAGTGTCTGAGTTGGTTGATTAATTGAGTCAACTGCTTTATTCCATTCTTGACCCAGTAGCTTCCCTTAACCTTGACCTTCAACCTCATCAATCTCTTCTCCTCCTTTAGGAAGCCTTCCTTGATCTTCTGAAACAATGCTGGTGGTTTTTCCAGCATACTATCCCTTATCAGAGAAATTTGCAATGTTGATATATTTATAATCTGAGAATGCTTTTGTATACATAGAACATGGAAGCAATGATGACAAATCCCCCAGAAAACTGAGAGATATTAAAATATATACAGAGAAAGACTCTGCCAAATGAAGAAGGAAGAAATGTCTAAGAGTCATTTTTGTGTTCACAATGTGCAGGGTAGGAGTTCCCCAAATTGTTGTCTTGACTGTTTGGTTAATGGGCCTATAAGGATATTTTTGTATCATAAATATATACATTTATAGATCATGTTTTTTTAGTCTTAGGAATCCTAAAATTAACAAAGTGGCTTGACAAAAGATTTACTTAAGCTTTCAAAGTAGTTTTTATAAAGAGTGAATTTTCTGGTCAAGCCAACATGAAACAATTGCTTTATTTCTGGTTGTAAAAACAGACATGCTGGCCTATACAGCAATTTCTTGCAAATTTATACAGTCAACCTCTAGATCACTTGATGGAAGTTTCTGTGTTTACAAAACAATGGACTGGAAACTATCACAATAAATGTATCAAAATAGTATCACCCTATGGAGCCCTCCCTAGGGGATGGTCAGTCAACTCTCTCCCAAAGATAACCCCTCTGTCCCCTCCCTCAAAGCACAGTTATAATGAGGTTGGTTTACATGGTTCGAATTACAGTTAAGGGTTCTATATATTAACTTAAAAACTCAAGTTCCTGAGCCATGTGCTCAAATAGCCTGAAGAGCTACTTAAAATATCTAGTATAGACAGAGAGACCTGAAACACATCTACTATGAGAAAAGGAAACCACAGAGGCTTGTTGCTCTGGAAACTGAAAAAAAGATTGACGTGTAAAGTTGTTCAAACTTAAATGTGCACTTGTCATAAGGGAATCTTGTAATAATGCAGAATCTGATTCAGGAAGCCTGAGGTGGGCCATGAGATGCTGCATTTCTCACCAGCACCCAAGTGATAGCAGTGCTGCAAACCTAAGGACCCCACTTGGAGTAGCAAGGGCTGAGGATTTAAGTTGCATAGCAGTGCTCAAGTGTCATATAAACACAGAGACTTTGTTTCAATAACTGAGCCAGAGAACACCAAAGTAAAAGTATCAGTTAAGAAGTGATACAACCCATTTCCTGTACATTTTTGTTCTTTGCTGGAAATTAGTTTACAGTGTGTCTATTCTTATCAGGCCATGAGAGCATGAGTAAAATGGTTTACTCGTCTCTGACAGGTTTTACGTGCCTAAGCTGAGGGGTTTGCTCCACTATCCCCAAACATGCAAACCACAGAAGCAGGGACCCAGGAGCAGAGGTGGCATCCTCCTTAGCACATCCTCCAAAGTTCCAAAGATCTCAAAGTGATAGGAAGGACACTCCCACAAATTGCTCACATAATTCCATGTACTTCCTTAGCACTTTCTGGAAACACACCATGACACCAACAGTCAAGCCCAAGTGGAAAGCACCTTAATTCAAAACTTGCAGTGCATCTTTTTTTCTTTTTATCTATTTAAGACATTTATTAACCAAATTTTGGACAATCAGTTGGAACAAAAAAGCAAAATACATTCTTAACAAAGGTAGGCAGTGTTATCTACTTTTTAAACTGGTGTGGAAAAAAAAGGATTTCTTTGAATTTGGCAATGCTTTCTTTTTTTCAATGAGTTGACATTAAATATTTTATATTAGTTTCAAGTATACAGCATAGTGATTATACCTCTGTGTATCTTAAATAGTACAGATTCTAAGGTGACTAATGGACTTCAGGTTATGCAATTCTATCTCCACAACTACCCCTAAAATTTTCAACACTAAAATTAGGCCTCCTATAAGAAGCAACAGCCAGAGGAAAAATAAAGATCAAAAATAAAGATAAAAAATAAAGCACCCAAATAGAGGTGAGTTCAGGTGGAAATAGGAGGGGAGTTGTTTTACCTTTTTGGTAGGATAATCTTATTTGTTAAATTCCTGCCTTATTATAGAATTCAGTATTTTTCCATCTACAGGTTGTAGCCCATTTGTGAATCATGAAATCATTTTCACAGGTCAGAATCAGGTGTTTTAAAAATGCAGTTGACCAAGGTACATTGAAGTTCAAAGGGGAAGTATTGTTTAATGAAACTTCTCAGTTATATGTGTCTGTTAGTTCGTAAAGTTCATTTCTTACTGTGGATCATAATCAAAAATTTAAAAAACATTGGACTATAGTTTCCTTTATGAGAAAAGAGGGTTTTGTGTTTGTTTGTTGTTTTTTTTTTTTTAAGCCATAGTTGTTTTTAATCTATTTATTTTCTCTATGTTCACCTAGCATTGCCTTAGTTAGATGAGGGATGAGGTCAGGGTAAGTAGCCTTTTGCTATATTTCACTTCCCTTTCCAATATAAATTTCTTGAACTCATATAGCATGTTTAAAATCCATATATATAATATTCAAGTCTTTCAGGTCATACATCATATTAATAGATCACATTTAATCTACACTCTGAACTGTTCCTCTACATCTAACCAATTGCTAGGAGTACTTCACAGCTTTCAAGTTACAAGAGCACCATCTTCTGGTGAAATAATTTCTTTGTTGGGAGGATGTTAAAGCATTAGCAAAAATCTCCTGATTTTTCTAGCAAAAATTGCAATTGACAACACAAATATATTGAAATTCTTTAGTGTTCTACTGCAGGAGTTTCCATTCTCCATATGAGACAGGTCTTTCTATTCCTTAGCAGGGAAAGGAGCTAGTCTGTCCTTCTTGGTTTTCCGTTAAAATGAGTCGGTTTCAAGTTTCAGCTCCTCCTTGAATTCCAGCGTGCTGAGACTTCCCTCTAGAATCATCCAAAATGGAGCCTCTTACAGCTTACCCTTTAAGATGTTCAGGGCCCAAAACAAAGGTATTTGCAGTTTTGCTGTCTATGGTTCTATGCACAGTAATGCTATTTCTTCTACAGCTAAAATTCCTAAAACCTAAAATCAACAGCTTTTATACCTTTGAAGTGAAAGATGCAAAAGGAAGACCAGTGTCTCTGGAAAAGTTTAAAGGCAAAGTAAGTTCTACCTTCTCGTTTTTATTTCTTTTTTGTTTGTACACATTCCCTGTTTATTCTCTTAATAGACTCAATTTTTACTATTAAATGGTCGTAAGTTATAATTTATAATAAAGTAATGTTATTAGTATATCACTTTAGCCATCAGAGTTCTCACAGTTTATATACTTCTAATTGCTAAACTGATTAACTGTTTAAAATGTTTTCATTTATGTGCTGAATTCATACTTTAAGTTGTTTAGGAAATTCTTATGCTTAGTAATATGATTATGGAGACGTTAATAAAAGTACTAATTCCACAATCTAACAACAATAAAAGCACTCTATCAATATTATTACCTTTTATTTTAAAATAAACTGTCATGAGAATCTGATGCTTTTTTAGTGGTAGTGATCTTTCAGAGTCTTAATTCATGCATCCAGGTTATGATTTTTCAATAAAATTGGGTATGTCTAAAAATATGAAATAACCGTCTATCAAAGGTTGTATTTCCCCCAAAATGGCTTAGGATTTTAACTACTTAAAAGAATTTTTTTAATCTTTATTTGTTTCACTTTCCGGTTGGATTTTTTTTTTCTTTTTCCGGGAGGTTACACTAGTTGTAAACGTGGCTAGTGACTGCCAACTCACAGACAGAAATTACTTAGCACTGCAGGAACTGCACAAAGAGTTTGGACCATTCCACTTCAGCGTCTTGGCTTTTCCATGCAATCAGTTTGGAGAATCGGAGCCCCGCCCAAGCAAGGAAGTAGTATCTTTTGCAAGAAATAACTACGGAGTAACATTTCCCATCTTCCACAAGATTAAGATTCTAGGACCTGAAGCAGAACCTGCATTTAGATTTCTTGTTGGTAAATATCTTGCCTCACCAATTTAATGTTAATTGTTTTTCATTTTTAAAACAAATATATCAGGACCATGCTTTCCAATTTCATTTGAAATATTTTAGAGGGAAAGTTTAATAAGTCTATCAAAAAGCCAAAATTTTTTCCTTTTGAACTTTCTAGAAGTTATGCTACCCAGAAATCAATATTTTAACTTCTTGGATGGCAAAATAAATCTACTCCACTGTATTTTATTCCTTATGATCATATTCCTGAAGAATTAAAGTGTGGTCATTGTTATTTTCAAAAAAATATCTCATTTCTCCTCTTATTTAACTGGCATTTGGGGAAATTATTAAAGCACTACATCTCTCATGAATATTGCTGAGCATTCTTAGTTAAACATATCTTTATGGTTAATTTTATTTTGCCTTAATTACAATGCTCAGTTTACCGGGTTTTTGCTAAAATTCAAAACAGAATATAATAATTTTTTTTGAGCAAAGTAGTGTTAGGCTATTTCTACAATTAGGCTAGCTATAGAAATCTATTTAAAGATTTGCCAGGGGCAGTTAGCATAAAGACAGTGAAGTTTAGTGACTAAGAGCACGGACTTTGGCTTCAAACTCCTACTCTGTTGTTTTTGCCGTGTGGCTTCCATCATATAACTTAACTTTTCTGTGCCTGTTTCCTCATTTGTAAAATGATATCAATAGTATCTACCCCCTAAGATTGTTTGGAAAATTGTGTTAATAAGAGTAAAGTGCTTATACACTTCTTACACTGTGCCAGACACTAAAGGACGTTCAGCTAATGACTCATCTGGCTTATTCAGATGTCTTCAGTCCTGTTTTCACTGTAGATTATTTGAGTTTTGATAAAGCTATGACTGCAGTTAGGCAATCAAGCTTTGGATCCAACCAGTTAATGATGTTCTAGGTCACACTGAGGAAAGAAAAGCCAGAACACATGCCCCAGTCATTCCTTAATTATAAGAGCCAAACAGTTGGGCACAATAGCTCCTTGGTTCTTCCCCTTTATCACAAAAACAAAGTTCTGAAACTTACCCTGTGTAATCAGAAGGTGAAAGACAAGGACTGAGATGATGGCCAAATTAAAATTAGACCTTTTATAACTAGCCAAAAGGGACACTAACTGATCATGTGGTCACGAATGGACCACTCTGTACAGGTGTGCAGGTTGCTCAGGGCATCTGAGTGAGGCAAGTGGGGCCTGAAACCCAGCAAAGAGGCAAGGCATGTGCTGAAGGACTGTACCCACCTGGAAGGGTATCTTATTCTAATTCAAAAAAAGATGTTACATCAGCTAGAGAGAGCCATGCCCTGATGGGCATTATCTTTAGAAACACATTTTCCATTATAGAAAATGGCTATTTTTCAAAATGATTTAAGAAGATTTCAATGTACTAATATGCTCATAATGAGTCATTGATATTTAATTGGCAATATTCCTAATAATAACCAATTTAAATGTCTGGTACGGTACACTAAGCAAAATACGTATTAGTAAACATTAGGCTACATTTTATTATTTTTAACCTATACTCCCTCACTGGTTGTTCTCCCAGCATAAAGCAAAGTATTCCTCACCTTTAAAAACTCTAGACAGTGTATTCCTTCTACCTACTTCATCACTGTTTTTTAAAGAATAGTTAACACTTGTTTTCTCTGCTTCCCTGTTTCCATTTCCTTCTTAAATCACTGCATCTGGCTTCTCTCCATGACTCCTCTGAACCTGGCGAGTCATAGTACCAGTGACTTCCACTCTGGCCCCTTCTCTTTCTCCTCTTCAGGTTCCTCTTTTCCATTCACCCCTAACACTACTGATCCTCAAGATTCCACTTGGGCTCTTCTTATTCTATCCCCTTTCCCTGAGTGAGCTCTCTCTCCTAAGGTCCAAAGCCATATATCCAGGTGCCTCCTCTGATTGGGCGTCCCATATACACCTGAATTTTATTTTATTATAGAAAAATAATTTGTCATCTTCCGCCTAAAATTGGCTTGCTTTGCCATGTCCCCTATAATAGAGCCAGAGATTAAGAGCACAAGCTCTGAGATAGGAAGATCTAGATATTCTAGGCTCTACCACTCACCAGCCACAAGACCTTGAATCTAGGCCAGCATTTTTCTCTTCTGCAAAATGGGGATAATAATACCCGCCTCACAAGGTTGCTGTAAAGATTACATGACAGGATACATTTAAAGCCCTGAGCATATATTACGAGGCACATAGTAGGCATTTGATAAATTTTAGTCATATTTTTTTCTCGTTTGTCAATAATAATGCACATAGATCCAGGATGATATAAATGGTGGGGGGGGGGGAATCTACATCTCTTATATAAATTGTGTCAAAGGATGCCATAATTTCTCAAAACAATATGACTATTTAGAATTCCTTACCATTTTCAGATATGTAAATACAATATTAAAACATGTATTTAATATGAAAAGTAATCCATGCAACCCATTACAAGGACCTTTAGAACATCATTTTACCTATAAAAAAAATGTTAAGAAACTGAAAGTTTTAAGCCAATAACAAGGTAGATTCTTTAGATCAGCAAATCTAAAATAAACCACTTTATTTCATGATTCTAAATCAGTAAAATCATCAGTGATGTCACCAAGTATATAGAAATCTGGTTACTCAAACCTTGAGTTTTTGCTTTGTTTGGGTGTTTTGCTTTTTGTTTTGTTTTTAACATTATGAAAATCCTAGAACTTGATTCTAAAGTTGTCACTTATGCAAATGATAACAAAATTGAAAATCTTGACAATGAATAAAATTATGCTCATAAGAATATATTCTATTTTAGATTCTTCAAAGAAGGAACCAAGGTGGAATTTTTGGAAGTATCTGGTCAACCCTGAGGGTCAAGTTTTGAAGTCCTGGAGGCCAGAGGAATCCATTGAGGTCATCAGGCCTGAGATAGCAGATCTGATTAGACAAATGATCATTAAAAAAAGAGAGGATCTATGAAAATGCCATTGAGCCATTGTAATGCAATAGTCAGAATATGGAAATGTCTGCATGAAGTTTTGGTCTTATTTTAAATACTCTGACAATTAAATGTGGATGATTTTTTATGTTATCTTGCTAGTGAGTGGTAATGAATGTCCCCACAACAGAGAAGTTACCCAAAGTAAAAATAAAGAGTACCCAAGAATCACAATGAAATATATTAAATACTTCATTTGACCACACTAAATAATTTAGAAAACACAGTTACTGTTGTGCTTCAATATCCTATTGAAATTTTCTAGGATCATACTTGATGAAATGACATCACACTAGACCACTGTTTGATTTCAAGACATTATGTGACTGAAATTTCTGGAGTAACTAACTGTAAATGGCTATTTTTGTGTAATAAAACACACAGTAAACATTAGAAATATAAAATAGAGATTCCAATTTTTATATTTTTTTGTTTCACATATAGGATTTTGTTTAAGTAGAGATTCATATGTTTTACTACATCTGGACAAATAATCACTTATAAATGACATACAACATTTGAAAAAGCCTTCATCATTTTTAATATTTCTCCATTATTTTCCAGAAGCAACTCAAATTTTATAAATAGAATATTAACAGTTGAGTCTGTCTTTATTTCTGAGTGAAAGAATAAGGCCATGCATAAATGATTGTTTAACTTGATTCCTTATAGGTTAATTCAGATGTCCATTCCACCTAAAATCACTAGTTCTCTCCAAAGCCAGATAAAGTGGTTTTTTTCACTTATATACTATCAATCCTAGTTACTTTGTTCAATTTACAGTCTCTACCATAGTCAGGTGCTTGATTCTCTCCCCTTGCCCTTTGGGTATGCAGGGAAGGCAGGTGGGGATTTGACAGTGTGCCATATAGGTATCCATTCAGAGTTCTGTAACAATAAGGCTCTGTGTACTGAAAGAGGTGGAGCCATTTGCTGATGTACTGCTCCCTAGGATTCAAATGTCTTACATGAATAGCTCCAGGTAAATTGGGGAGGAGGGGGCGAGGAATGCATCTTTCTTGAATTGTGCATAATATCATATAAAAATGTATACCCTTTCTCAGCATCAAAAAGCCTGGGACAGAGTGCTACAGGCTGCCTAAACTGAGGAGTATAACAGAAAAATAGCAGGCATCACATAAAAGGGAATTCAGCTGTTACAGTCTTCATGACAAAGGAACAAAATCCAGCACAGTTAATTGTCAAGAACTCATTGACTTGAAGTTCATTTTGGTTTGTTTTCTTTGGGAGATAGAAGAGTACTTTATACTAACTCCTAATTATCTCATGGCATATGTAACAACAGTTTTGGAGACTGGAATAAATATAAGTTGGCCTGAAATATGCCCTGAAAAGCATACTTCATCCTTGAAAATCCTTAACTAATTATAGTGTATCTGTAGTATGTGTATATGTTCACATATATAATTTTTAATTGTAGCATATATAGCACATTTAAAGAGGAGGCTGATAAAGGCTTAACAACCAGCTCTCTGGAGAAGAAGCCCTAATTTGCAGCATTTGCCAATTTCTATGGTATAAATGCTTGTACATGGCCAATTTCAATCTAACAATGGTTTAATAACTGGCTTGCAGAATTTCTGAAAATTTAACAATCAGTTCTCATAAACCAGTACAAGCTGGCTCCAGCACACCCAAATCCTTTTAAATCATATTTGATCAGGGTATCACAGAGCTCTCCAAAGATAAATCTAGAGTAAAAACATATCATATATACTCTATTTTTATTATAAATGTACTATTTTGACAGATTATTAAAAAATGTGGAAGTTTATTCAGCTACTGAATTCTGCAAAGCCGCTAATAGTGTACTGTAACTATTGACCTAACTGGATTATCTGCAGGTAATAAGTAGAAAAATACTACAATAAAAGAAAACAAAATGTAAACAAAGCCTAAGAAAAAAAACTATATTTCTCTATATTTGTTTTCTTTAAGCATATTGTGTTTCAAAAGATTGCCTTGCATGAGCTAAAATGTGTCAAAATATCACATTCCTTCACGGTGTTCCTTTGAAAGAAAACTGACATGTTTGGATGGACCTAATATGGGGACACTGTTGATATTTATCCCTCAGCTTGATTTCATCTTTCCAATGGAATAATAAAATTCTAATAACTGTTACACCTAG